TAATCACGAGCTCTCATACAGGTGCATCTCAATAAATCAGAATGGCGTCAAAAAGTTTTTTTCTGTTTACAATTAAAGAAGTGAAACGAACAGATTTATGCGCTTGACGCTTATTTCTGTTCATTTTGATCATTATGAGTAACAGGTAATTCTCCCTATTTATTTTGTACTTTTTCCTTCCACTCAACTTTCAAAGTGACAAACGTAAACTGAAGAAATACAAAATCAGTTTTCGAATCATGAGCATATGTGAAAACGTAATCACCCCTCTCTCAAATAATGACTGTTAATAACCATCTTTTTAGAAATTTACTTAACCAGTACTTTTCTGAGGGAGCAACGTAGGCCAACAAGATTTCAAACTAACAGTCTGGAAAGGGGTACAAAGATATTTCTAAGGCTTCGGGACTTTAGCGAACAACAAAGGGTGGATTTGTGTTCAAGACAATAATCTTGGCAGGACCTTGAAAGGGCCTAGTCAAAGTGTGCACTTAAAAACAATCATTAAAATGACCAGAAATAAACAAATAAAAATGATCACCGCACAATAAATCTGTGTTCAATTTAGTTTCGATGTCCTTCCAGTGTACCGAGATGCACCTGTACGTGTTTTTACACCTGACAGACAGACATTCATTCATACAGTACAAGCAGCCTTGTGCAAACACTCTGATAAGATGTAAAAATTGCCGTAATAATCAATCTTTGTTTTCAGACATTTCAAATTTTAGTAACTCTGAACAGACGCTGTCAAAATCTCTGAAGTGTATGAATCAGACGAATAAAAAAAAAAAAAAACTACAAAAAAAGTGTTCACATTACATTATTGGCGCTTCTTTTTTTTTTGATTCAAGTATTTGTTCTCATTATTCTGTATTACTCTGATATGTTTATGATCTCGTCATCTGGGAAACAAATGGGAAGGGATGAAGCAAAGGGAGTAAAAGTGGGAAAACAGGTCAAGTCTAGCCACACACATCCATTATGTACTCTTGGTTGTATACTGTGTATGAGCTAGCATGTGCATATTCAACCCAGTCCTTTTGATTTCTTGGGTCCCTTCTCAGACTTGTGTCTGATCTGTGATTATGAAGCAGGTTTTACTCGAGCTCCAGTTGCCTTCAAAATTAATAATAATAATAAAAAATAAAAATAAAAAACATGTAAAAAGTAGGGAGAGCATCCGATTTCCGACACTTTACAGGTAGATAAGAGTGCAGATGAGGATGTGGGAGAGAGGCTCTCAGTGCTGGTGCTGCGCCGAGAAATCCACATCCGAGAGTCGACCCCCTGACCCCCCCCCCCCACGCCTCAACTTCAACACCAGCTCCATGATTAAAGTCCAGTGTGGAGTTCATTAATGCAGGTTTTTCAGGAACAATCTCACGAACAAACAGCACAGGCAAAAAGTGATTGTTTTTTTTTTGTTTTGTTTTGTTTTTTTTTGTTGAACGACGCACGTCCAAGGCGACTCTGGAAGAGGGCAAGTCCCCAAAGTTTTTTTTTTTTTTTTTAAGACTTGGTACCAAACTTGAGGTGCGTCTCAGCTTCTGAGTGCGCAGCTTTTTTTCTTCTTCTTCTTCTTTTTTTTTTGTAGTTTCTAGTTTTTGTGAAAATCTTGATGATAAAAAGAAAGAAAAAATAATAATAATGTTTTTGGTTTTTAAAGAGATGTACCCGATGTGACCCATAAACAGTGCACAGACACATACAGGGACCTCCCTCGGACCCCCCTTCCCACTTCCTCCTTCTCCTACTGCAGCCGCTAAAAGAATAAAAAAAAAAAAATATATATATATATATATATATATTCCAGTCCACTGTTCCTCAAAGACCAGCATCATCTGTCCTGCCCTTCTGCTTCTCCAGCGGCCCGGTGGGTACGCCCCCAGCAGCAATGACTCTTTTACTCTAACATAAATGACAATGTGAGAAAGTGGAAGTAGATACCAGCGATGCCGTTGGCACCAGTCTGAAGGAGCGACGGCCAACACATAAGTGTCTCCAGCAGGTTGTTTAGTGTCAATCTAAAAGAGAGGCGGGACTCTCCGTCAGTGTCCCCTACGTTTGAACCCAGTGAGGTTTCAGGAGAAGCTGCCTGGTAGTACGAGTTGTGAGAGGAGAAGTGGAGACTGGCGGATGCAGAGGATGGCTGCGGACAAACGCCTCCTTTTGTCGTTTGCATAGAAATGGAAGGCTTGCTGTCGGTCGAGGTGGCTCTAAGTGTGACAGAGCGCTCCCAGAGTTCAACGCGAGTGAAGCCCGTCCACGGCAGAACAAGGCCGACCGCAACGCAAGGTCCGATTACTCTTTTAGCCGCCTGCTGAGGCGTACCGGTGGGACTGCGCGCCGGTTCTGCTCGGGAGGCGGCAGGAAGGGACAGGAGGGATGCTGAACACTGCATAAAGACCAGTATTTGAAAGCAAAAGAAATGATCATCAGAAACAATCAGAAGCTAGGCATGGACTGGTTTCCAGTACCAAGGTACAACCGGAGTGTAAAAAGTTATCTTAATAACATGCTAGAGGAAGCGCAGGAGTGACCAGTGTTTTCCGTACGGCGCATTGATTGACAGCATTGCCCCTCCCCTGCTTGTTGCTGCGCACTGCCACCAGCTGGCTGAAAATTGTCTACCGTCTCTTTCAGTTTGGCTGTTAAGGAAATATTTCTGGTTGCAGAAATGACAGACAGGCCAAATATGGAAACTAAAGGAGAGCCACCCGTAAGTCTTATTAAGGCTTAATTCATACAACCCAGTTCGCTCAATAGTGACAATAATACTCCTATCCAAAGCGGGGCAATAATCGTTCTTAACAAAGAGTCCACCATTGTTTTTCCCACAAAGGTACAAGATTATCAAAAAGAAATGATATCCGAGAAATCGCTCTCATTCGATTTTTAAATCGCTATTTTTACTAATAGTGTACAAACCAGCGCGTTAACGTCCCCCAGGAGGCTGCATTTCTCTGGTTTCGCATAGTATGAACACAGAAAGGTTCATCATTAAGAGAAGTACATTATTGCTGCTAAAGTACAAGCTAATAGCTAACAGTAAAAGCTTTAAGCTAGCTACCAGATGAGATAGCCTGACTAATATCAACAAAGTGGTTCAATATGCTGCATAATAAGACAGTTTACAACTGAATTTAGTTGGTAAATATTTTCTGAGGTCTACACTGGAATAAAAAGTAACCCATATTGTAGGAAACACAACATTTCAAATTGCAATTGGAACCATAATGCGATACAAAACCGCAATCGTAAAAGACATTATGCCTGAATGCATTATTTGGTGGGTTAAATGTAATGCGACCACAGGCTGCATGCCAATATCCACAGATAGGCATCTTATTGACAGAGATGATAAAACTCAGGGACAATGATGGGAAAACACAAGTCATTTCCAATTGATCCCAACATTCAACAGTAAAGGTTAAAATCTTCTGTTTTCTAAACATTGCGTAGCCCTAAATTCTAATTATGACCAAAATGTCATTTTGTTTTAGCAGCAGTAGGTCTAATTAATGCTTTTCTGGTTTAAATAAGAGCATCTGGATCCTGTTACACATTTCTGTTATGAGAGTTTTTGGTAGTACCTTGATACTGTGAAACCGTGGTGTTTTTCTCCAATGTTTGAGAATCTCCTGACCCACGCGCATCAAGAAGCTGTCATCAACAACTTCAGCGACAAAATAAACGCATCATGTTAATTCAGTTAAGTACAACCCAAAAGGTAAACCCCAAAACACTCAAATGACTTTGATCTTTGACTAAAGTGATGTTTGCAGGAGAAAGACAGACAGCGGAAGTGGTGCTTGCTGAGGACATGCTCTGACATAGTAGTAGTAGTAATTTCCGAGCTCCTCCCGGCGCAAAGGCGGAGGAGGCGAGAGGAGGGATCAGCAGGGAGGAGGAGGGCAAGCGAAGGAGGTGGCGGCGGGGAAAGGTGAGGGCTGCTGCAGCTCTGCTCTCTGCAGCAGGCAGGCACTCAGTGGCCACACTATCACACCGGTTGGCTGGGCCTCCAAAAAGAAAAACAATGAAAACAAGGACAAGACGGCGATCCTCCCTGCCGGATCCAGCTGAGCGATCCCAGACACCAAGGCGTAAAAAGTTCTCAAAGTTGCAATGTTAACAGTGATGTTTACTTTGATATATATATATATATATATATTTATATATATATATATATATATAAAGAAGAAAGTGAGGATGAGCGCTTTGAGTTTTCTTTGCATTTCCCTTCACTTTGCTACCGTGTTTGACATCCTCTGGTCCCACTGACTGAAGAAGGAAAAACAAAGTTCACATCCATGTCAAGTTAAAAAATAAGTACACAGAGAAGCCACTGAGCAGATTGCTTTGAAGTCTTTTTGCAGTTTTTATTTGCCAGTGTTGCTTCACCTTTCTTCTGTTCGTTGGCATTGAGGGTATAAGGAGCAACGGCGCTCTCGTTAAGTGCTATAACAGACCACCTATTCACAAGTCTTTGCCTCTTTTTTTCCTGTTTTTTTTGTTTTTTTTTCTTTAAAACCCAAAGCAAATGTGGACAAAAAAAAAGTGATCTTGTCTTCTGGGTGAGGGGGAAAAGAAAACAAGCTCCTCTGAATTTGGTTTGTCGCCTTCTTCCCAAACACACACACACGCACATAAAATCACACACTCAAGTCTTACGGAGAGGTGGCTGGCTGAAGAAGTGCTTTGTATCGAAGTCCTTGTGTCTTGGACAGAAAATGGTTGAAGACCAGCTTGCTACTCTCCTGAGTTCACACTCTCTCTAAGGGGAGATAAAGGGTAGTAGTGGCAGTTTTTTCCTCTCTTTCTGAGGGCAGATAAAGTGTTCGCAGTTCACTCTTTCCTTACAGTCTGCTCTCAGTCGTAGGGTGCTTGGACGGTAGAGTCTGTGGCTTATATTGCACGTCGCTTGAAATGGTGGGTTTTGCAGGTGGAGTGGGCGCGCGGCGGAGGGGCGGAAGGAACAATTTGAGGTTGTTCTTTTCTTTTTTTTCTTTAATTTCTCCCAAAATGTCACTGAGACAGGTTGAGACAAACTGCAAAAAAAAAAAAAAAAAACATAAAGGAGCCCATAGAAAGGCTGAGGTGCATCATCGTGTTTGTCTTTTTTTTTTTACAGTTCCTTTGTATTAGCAGTGGTTCATCTCATCATATGTACATCCACCCACCAGGTACGGTCGACAGACACATTTGAATAACATCATTTTTTTTAAGCTTTGTTTGCAATGGTTCAAGAAAACAAATCATCAAAAAATACTAGAAAAATAAATGGTTTGAGCAAGGCGAACAAAGTTGCATCATTCCCTTTGAGCGATGTGTTTGTTGGGGAGTGGAGGGGGGGTGGGGACTCGATCCGACTGCGGGAGAAAAAAAACAATAAAAACTCAAATGCACTGACGTCGTGAGCTGCAGCAGCATGTACTTTCCACTCAGGTTTCACTGGCTCAGAAATAAGGGTGTGCAAGTTCTCCGTAAGCTTCTTTACCGAGTAAAGAGTTGAGCGTGGATAGCAGGGCAGGAAACAGTTTAAGGCTAAAATTAGTGCTGACAGAAACAAATGCTGTTGGGTCTGGACCGGCTGACCGTGCGACACCCACTCTGATTGACGGGTTTTTGTTAGAACTTTGGGAATGATGCCTTTCTCCATGGATCTCTGAGGTGCATTATGATTGCCTGAAAAGGCAGCGAGGGATCCCACCAGAATAAAGATGGCAGCTTGTCGCCATGTCAGTTGACTCGAGTTTGTTTAGAACAGCGACCCCCCTCCCCCCCGCTTGTTTCTGTAAAACGTTTTTGTTTTTTTTTCCTTAGTTCTTTGATAAATGAAACGCCGGGATCCGAAACTCACCACAAAATAACTGCGACTGAAATGCCTTTTAACCCGCGCAAAAAAAAAAAAAAAAAAAAGAGCAGAGGAGGCGGACAAAGCCAAGCAGCGAATATGAAGCCTTGTCCTCCTCTCGTCTCTCTCCTCCTCGTCTTCACATCCACACTTGATTATCTCCACACTGATTTGCAAGGTTTTTGCTCCTCTTTGTCAGTTTTTTCCCCCTCCTACATGGACTCTCCACTCAGCAGGTCGCCAGGCAGCAGCGTATTGATTGGCGTGGGGCTCCCCATGACTCGTCCCTCCTCGCCGCTCGGGGGTCCCCACAGGCTGGAATACTGCTGAACGCCTCCCCAAAGCAACTCCCCGCCCGTTTTAGTCCCGCCCGCTCCGAGGCCGACGCTGCTGCCGCCGCCGCCGCCACTGCCGCTGTTGTTGTTGTTGTTCCAGTGGGGTGAGTGACCGATGGGATGAGCGACTCCGGATCCGGATCCGCCCATCCTGGTCTGATTGGTTCCCGGGGTGGCCTGCCAGCTGGTCGTCCCGCTGAGCGACTGGCCCTGTGCAAAGAAGCGGTTCACCTCCTCTTCCCCGGCGAACTCTGCTAGGATGGTGGTGTTCCCCAGCACACACCTGCACGGAGACACAGACGATTCAAGTGTTAAACTCTTCAGGGCGAGCTCCTCGTACAGCTCTACAGCTTCGGCGACGTACATGTGCAGAGACTTCTGAGCTTTGGCGGCTTCGTCCTTGGAGCTGTAGCGAACCACGGCGTTTCCCTGTGTCAGGTTGAGGTGGAATGTGATGAGGGGGCCGTGCTGCATGCACAGCGTACGCAGAGTGGAACCGTCAATCTGGGAAGGGAAAATTAAAAAAAAAAGAAAAGAAAAGGTATGTCCGATTGAGGAGTCAGTTCCTACAACATGAGGAGAGAGAAACCCTGGGAGGAAACGGTTACCTGTGGCGTCAGGTTCCTCAGAACCAGCCAGCTGCTGGTCCTGGTGGAGCTGTCTGTGCTCCATGTGGTACCTGCTGCGATGAGAGGGAGACGTCTGTTTACACACAGCTTCATACTTTTCAGGTTGCTGCGAAACCAATAAAGTCTAAAGGTGGATGGGTGGAGTTGATAAAAAAAACCCACTAAAAACTCAGTTGACAGGTTCAACCACAACAAGTCATCCTCATAATTTCAAGATTACGACTCCCACTTGGACCCGCCCGCTCTGAACGCTCAACAAAGTGATCTAGGCCACGTAGACGTGTCTCTTACTCTTTGAGCACTTTATTACTACACAAAAACATAAGTACAGCTCCAGGATTGAACCTACAGAGAGTCCACATTTTGAAACAGAGCGACACTTCAACCTCTGTTTCTCCAGTTCTCTACTGCAAATCACAAAATCTTAGCCAGTATTTTTTGTTTAGTCTCTAGTGCAAATATCTTAGGACATTTGAAATAAGACACAATTAACTTACAAGTAACTTTTTAGCAACAAATATGAGCTTGTTTCAAGTCAATAATTTCCTAATATCCCTTATCTAGTACCTTTTTAAACCAATATTAAGGAATTATTGACTTAAAGCAAACTCCTGGATCAAGTTAGTTGTAATTTAGTTTTCAATTATTTCAAGTGTACTAAGATACTTGCACTAGAAACAAGACAACACTCTGTAAGATTTTGTGTTTCTTGCAGTGTACTAGAACCAAACTCAGGCCAGTAAAGCGCTACCTGTGGTGTAAGAGCTGCTCCATCCTTGGGCCAGACCCAGAGAGTTCCCGCCCCAGGTGGAGGAGGGCTTCGTGTTCGTGAGGCCGGGCGGGGGGCGGGAAGGAGCCGTGGTGCTGCTCCGCGGACCCTGGGGGACTTTCCAAAGCTCGTGGGACAGAGACGCCTGGCTGTGAGAGATGGGACCTGGAGACCAGGTCGATTTCATCTCTGACAGTTTGCCTGGATGGATGGAGAAGAGGAAGGAGGAGGTTGGCTTACAACACCAGGTGGCTGAAAGACAGATTCTCCCCAAGGAGGGACGCTACGGTCAACTTCTTTAAAAGTGTCCAAAGTAAACTCCAACCTCTGAGTAAATGCAGCTGCCAGCACTACCAGGCAGCCTAAAAGAAATAGTACGAGCAGAATACTGGTATATTTTCTTGTTGTCATGTCCTATCACACAGTGAAAGCACATAAAATGTTTGGTGTAACATAAAAATATGGAATAAGAAAACAGTAAGTATTTGATTTAAAACAGGTTTGGGAGATGAATTCGTGAAAAATGCCAATTCTCACTGTAATACTGAGATTTTTAAAATCACATTTTTTTCCCCCTAACTGATCTTTCCAAACACACTTCATCACATTTTAAAACAAAACAAACAGATAAAATAAAATAATAATAACAATAATAATAATAATAAAGTGCATTTTTAAGTTTATTTCCACATTTGGCAAGCTTTGAACAATAAACCTGGAAAATCCATTAACTGGAAGAAATGAAAGAAGGATTTTCACAAGAAAGGAAGGAAGGATGTGTGGAATGAAGGGCAGAAGGAAGGAAGAACAGACAGAAGGAAAGTCAGACGGTAGGAGGTAAGAAAGGAGACGCTGGTTACCCAGGAAGGAAACAAATAAATAACAAGGAATCCAGCAAAGACAAGACAGAAGGAGACAAGGAAGGACACAAAAAGAAAAGAAGAAAAGATGGGAATAATGCAAGATAACATAGGAAAGAGAGGAAGAAAGGATGAACACAAAGAAGGAAAGAATTAAGGTAATGAAAAAAGAAAAAACAAAGGAACAACAAAAACTTTCAGTACGTTCATGACTAAATACTGGAACAGTCTAAACTCTGATCTGCTTCACACGTTTCAGGTAACAGTAGTTCAGATTAAAACGGCAAAAGGAATTTGCTGTGGATAATAGATCCAAGAGGAAGCCATGTTTGACAAGGAGTGGTGACGTCAATTCTGTTTTTTCGCTGTAAATATCTGGAGCTTTGGGTGTTTACAATGTTTGGGTTGAAAGGTACATTTTTCTCTCATATTTTGCAGAATTTGTTGAGTTTTCTTCCAGGATTGTTCTGCATTTATCATTATTTAGTTTCTAATCAACAAGCTTACATTGCATGATGCTGCCACCACCGTGCTTCCAGGCAGGGATGCTGCGTTTAGGGTTACGCACAGTGTTACTTTTATGTCACACAGAGTTTGCCATAAAAGCCAAAATCCTTCTGTGCAAAGGTTTTCTTCTCATCGCTCTTCCATAAAGCCACTTTTGTAAATACCTCTGAATACTGTTGCAAGGCATCTTAGAGGAGAGAATGATGCCCGACTGCAGGGATTCAGTCACTGCAACGTAAAAGGAAAGGGGGTTGTGGATAAGCCAAGTACCTGCGTCGTCCATCTCCGTGGAAGAAAGACTGAACGAGCTAGAGTAGGCACTGACTGGCCAATCGGTGGACGGAGGCAGAGCCTCGCTCTGAGATGAGGTGGGAGAGGAGCCTGAGCCGATGTCAGCAACACAAACAGAAAGACAAACACAAAGAAAAAGTAGCAAAGAGAGAAAATGGTATAAAGGGGAAAAAAAACAAAAAACACTGAAAATGGTGATCAGAGAAGCGTCAACTTGCAAGTGACAATGGATACAGCAGAAGTTAAAAGTAGGAAAATGAAGAACACAAAAGAGAAGAAGCAGGATTTCTGATAGCAGCGGCTGAATGTAATGTTTTTGTTTTCTGCTTATTAAAAATATTGCAGAAACACACAAAAAGATGCTCTTGGATTGTGACAAAAACATTTTTCAAACTTTAGTGAAGTTTTTTTTTTTTTTTTTTTATTATTTATACTTCAAGAACCACCTTGACCTTGGGTCTTACCTCCACTTCTGTCCCGGAGCAGGTAGCGGTTGACATCTTGGATGTTGGTGTTGATCGTAGGTCCGCTGGGGACGCTGCCTGGAGTCACGTTGGGGTCGGTCTCAGGGTCGATGTTCTGCAGACCCTTCCAGGGCACGCCAGGACAAAACTCTGAAGCAACACATGCAGCAAAAAATGAGCACAAAAAGAAACATTTGTAACTACTCTCCATGTTTAGTAAGCAAGGAGCTTCCAAACTGACTCGGAATATGAAATGGCGCCGCTATCCACCAGCTGCTACCAACCTGGAGGCCAGTTGATATTGGTCCCGTTGGCCATCTTGTCGCTGCTGTTCTTGCCCTGACCCCAGCTCTCCGGAGGAACCAAGGGGCTGGTCGGAGACTCTGAACTTGATATCAAGTTGTAGGGGTTGTAGGAGTCGTCTATCTGAGGAGGCTTTCCAGGTGGGCCGAGGTTGGCTCCTGAGAAACGTATGAAGGTACCGTGTGAGAAATTTAAGAGAATGAAATACAAGAAACTGAAACGTTTTAGGATTGTAGCTTCCAGGGTAAATAATAACGAACGTGTGCCTATGTTTTAACAATCAAAAATAGATTATATTTGAACAATATTTGAAATATTAGCTTAAAAATATCAGAATTTAATTGCAGACTTACAACTTGATTTGTGCTATAGGATGGTAAAGAATCAACAACCTTATATGAGCTTTACTTTAAAGAGCAGGACTATTTTTTTTTATTTTTTGGACAATTCATATATTTTCTACCTACTAAAATGACTTATGCTTGGAAAATATCAGCTGGACTCGTAAAACATACAAATTAAAACATTTAATGTTCGTTCCGTTGTTATATTTTGAAAATCTTTTGTTTTCTTATTGCAACTGGATTTAAAAAAACAACAACATTATTTTACCCTTTTCCTGACCTTTTAATTTTCTTCCTCTGGGCAACTCTTAGTGAGTTAAAATAAAAATATATTATCTGCACGAACTGTGGTTAATTTGATGGTCATATCAAATCAACACCAGCAGATGTCACTGTTGCCATTTCAAATACTCTCACCAAATTAACACCAAGGTCAAAGCCAACAGATCTTTTGTTTTACTTAACTTAAAATGGTAATTTATTTCCACAGATCTACAGACACAAATATTCAAAGACTTTAACTAAGACAGGTTGGACTTACAGTGTCTAGCTCAAAATTCAAACCAATATTGAATTCAGTGTAAAACTGAATTTTCTTTTGCAGACAGTAGAAAGTCCAGTTCAAAGTGAGCATTTTGCAGAGTTGTCACCGTCTTTAAGCATGTTTTTTTTTTAAAATTATTTTAGTGGCCTTTATTTTTACATGTGGCGAAGGAACAGAGGACAGGAGTCAAACATGGGATTGCGTTGAGGTCTACGGCCTCTGTATACGTGGCGCCCGCTCTGACCACTTCACCAGGCGGCGCCCCGAAACCAACACGACAACAAACACACCTCTTTGAATGCCAAACTAAAAACTTCCCCGCCCTGATCGGCCCCCTGCTCTCCTCTCACCATGTTTTCCCAGGTTGGGCTCGAGAGGAGACGAGTTTCCAGAAAGGCTTTCAATGGAGTTTGGGTGTGTCCACTGTGACAGCCGGGACTGCGGTAGCGGTGGGTCCTTCATAGGAAGGCTTCCCACGTCGATACAGTTTGGATTCATGTTTGGATTCAGTCCAGCTGGAGGCACCAGAAGATCACATGAGAGGCGCGGTAAAAGCACAACTCCTCTTAAAATCACGTTCAAAACACTTACAGAGAGCGTAGGGGCTGTAGGTGCTGGGAGATGACTGCGGCTCTTTGGTCTGCAGGTCGGGTAGGACCGGAGTCTGGGGGTGACCTGGATATGAATCCAGGGAGGATTTGGCCCCACCAGGATGCAGGCCAGAGTGGGACGGCTGCTGCTGTTGCTGCTGTTTCATTAGCAGAGCCTGGGCCAGCTGACGCTGGTGTTGTTGGATCTGCTGCTGCATGTTATTGATTGTACGTGCAACCTGGGGTTAGGATGCAACAGAAACAACAGTTACGACCAACACGAGAACAGCGCATCCTTTCCTCCCGCACACCGAATTTTTTCTGTGATTCTCGAAGTGGAAGAAAGAGCAGAAGCTCAGAGAAAATCCTACTTGCTGCTCTTGTTGTCGAATGGGGCCAGAAACATTGCGCTGTGCCTGCAACATTTGCTGTTGAATTTGTAAACGCTGGTATGCCTGTGGAGAAGGTGACAAAATGGTTAAAATCTCTAAGGGCTTGAAATATTTACCTCCATAATAACAAAGAACAGCTTGAAGGGAAGTCTTCAAGAGTGACTGGATAACACTCTGATACGTCTAATGCAAGGTGAAGCAGAAGAAGCTGAAAGTCTCACCAGTTGCAGCTGGTAAAGTTGATTCAGAAGGGTCATATGTTGAGGGTTTATTGGTGAGGTTAAAAGTGCAGGATTCAGACCAATGTTTTTTGCTGCAAACTGTAAGAGCTGTGCTTGAACCTGTGGCGGCACAATGGACACACAAGACCTGATTAAGTAAAAACTTTGAATATTTTCCTTGGAGAAACTTTTATACTCAACCTACTATTTAGCTCATGTAGAGAGAGAAGCTACGTATAGAAGTAAATGTTATTTTTTTCCCCTAAGTGTAACTGTACCTGAGGGGAGAGAAACTGAGGCACTTGCGCACGTAGACTAGGCTGAGAGGAGCTGAGAGGCGGCACTGGTGGCTGAGGAGGCGGCTGCGGCTGCTGCATGGCCCGGGTTTGTGCTGCTCCACCACCACCAAACATTCCACTCTGCATCTGCTGGAAAAACCAACACAGCCCGTCAGTGTGTTCCCTAATTTCTCCCCACCATCATTTCCACTCGAGTTACCTTCGGATTTGCGCATATATTAGCGTCAATCACCTTGTCAATGAAGGGCAGGCGAGGGTCTGTCGAGGGGTCTTTGGAGAGAAGCGGAGGCCGAGGGCAACTCATGGGCTTGTTGATGAGCCCGTTGTTGTAGTCGTGGCCGCCGGTCCCGATCCCACGCTTGTCAAGCTCAGTCTTCTTCTCCAGCAGGGCACTCATGGCCTGATCCAAGTTCATATTGTTGCTCTTCAAAGCTTCCTCTGCTGGATCCCTCTGGAAATAAAAAAAACAACAACACACAAAGCATCAGTGCTGCAGCTGCGACATGACCACATGAACCACTTCAATGTCGTAAGCACCGAAAAGAAGCACACGCCGACGCCGCACCGAACTGCGTTTGTTTGTGCAACAAAAAACATGCGACAAATGAGCGGTCGTGTCACTCTTGCAGTATATTGCAAATTTATTCACAGTGGTTTTGATTTTTGAGTTGTTTTTTTTGCTACAACCACAAACCTTAATGTAATTGATTAGACTTGTAAGCGACAGACCAACACAAAGTGCATAATTATGTTGTGGCAGAAAAATAACACATACAGAAACTATAAAAACATGCTTTAATCTAAACCAGTAGAGCTCAAGCTTTCCACACCAAACATCACATCATTAAATACAACATTTTACAAGCTCCACAACAACAGTGACATGTCTTTAAATTCATAAAAATTGCATAGATAAGAAGAAGTAAAGGAAATTTTCCTATTAATCCACCAGCATGCAGGTGTGGCTGAAGGATCCTGTTAATTGTGAACTGTATTTGTCCCCAGAATTATTCACCTTTACGCTCAGAGAGGAAATACAAGCAAAGGACTACTTGAAAAGGTAAAAGTGGGTACCTTTCACCAAGGCAGACTTCTAAATCCAATATGGCTGCCATGCATTGGGAGCACAGTGATGCTACTTGCAGTGATACAGAAAGAAGAACGTGTTGGTAAATCTCTCTGGCTGCATGGTTAGGCTCGCTCCTGGTGAAGGTGAACCTCCATCTCAGTCTCAATGAAAAGCATCTCCACTGCATGATGCTGCCACTGCCGTGTTTCAGTTAGATTTCTATTTACTTTGGTCTCATATGGTCAGAGGATCTTCTATACGTTTGTTGTGCCTCAGAAAACTGTAAACAGGAATTCTTATGCGTTTCTTTCAGCAACGACTTTGTCTTCAGGAAGTCTTTTCATAATAAAACATTTTAGTGGTACATGACTAATAGCTGCCCTCTCAAGAGATTCTCACATTTGAGGTATGGATCGCTGCCACTACTTTGAGATTAAATTACACACATACTTCAGCTCTAGTTGGTTTCTTAAAGCATTTAGTTGTGCTGGCTTTTATTTAGAAGGAGAAGAAAAAGTGGAGCTGAATACAAATGCATGCCACACTTTTAAGATTCTTGCTTGAAAAAGACCATGTGTTATTTTCCTTTAATTTATAATCTATACACTACTTTTTATTGATCCGTCATCTAAAATCCCAAATAAAATACACTAATTTAATGGTTGTGATGTCTCAAAATTTAAGGTCACTGTATTCACATTTTTCAGGCTTACTTCATGTACTGTTGAATAAATTTAAGCCACTCAAGAAATACTGGAAGAGGGAAAACATGACACTTTCTGATGGCTTTAGAAACTGAGCCTAAATGATTCGACTCACAGGGAAGCCCATGTCTGTGAGCTGTTTGATGAGCTGTTTCATGATCCAGGCATCTTCCTGTTTCCCTGGGATCTTTACCTGAGGAAATACATGAACAGAAACTTATCAGCATATGAACTCTGTGTAATTGTGATATTATAAAAGAGCATAAAAACTTTAGAGAGCTTCGTACTTTCTGTGGGACTTTTTTGGACGCGTTGCCCCAGGAGTTACAGGAAGAGTTGCTCTCCTGGGAGGCTGTGCTGTTCCACATGTCTCCCTCCTCAGAGTCCCACTGACCCCCTGAAAGGCTGAGCTCTTCACCTCCTCCTCCCCATCCATCTTGCATAGGTTTGGAGGCTGCAAAGTACGCAAAAGGACAAAAATGCATATTATAAGACACATTACACGTGTGAAATCTCTTGCGAAACAATAGGCATTGGTAGTATTTAATAGTAGCAGCATGATCGTTTGAAGAATAACAGCCACTAGAGGTCACTGTAGCTCAATGCGTGGAATCCAAAGGGCTGCAACCCTGTCATATTGATGTCCTTGAATCATCACACACAAAAAAACCTCTTGCTTTTCTTGCAATGAGTCAGCAGAGGATCAGATTATTCTTCAGAAACATTAAGCAGGATCAGATACGCAGCGTTTTTATTTTTACCAGGTTTGACAGGCGCTGCCGTCATCGCTGGGTTGCTCCTGCCGTAGTTGTCTGGGTTGCCATCTCCCCAGCCTCCGGCGCCTCCGCTCGGTTTGCCCCAAGCAGATGTGCCATTATCCACGCTGACTGGAGAGGGTGCCGGCTCTCCCCAAGAGCTCTCAGATTTTGTGTGGGAGCTGGGAAGCTCTCCCCAACCTGGAGGTCGCACAAGGACAGCAGCTTGTCAATGTGGAAAACCTCAAAGACGATTCGTATCCAGTAAACATCTTTAGCATCTGCAGAGATTTTAGCAGATTCAAGTATTTCTCATAAGTCTAAAAGTGTGGGCGACAAATGAGACTTTATTGTTAACCGTTTTATATCAAATTATTTAGGGATGCACCAATATGAAAATGTAGATATCTCTATCTGACATTATTTTGCCATTAGAGCTGATAACTGATATTTACCAATATTATATATATTTTACTACTCCACTGACACCTTGACAAAAAACCCAAAAAAACAACCACGTCTCTGACTTTACATGACCAAACCTCTACCACAAGCTGACAGCACATATCAGCTGTTACAATAAGTCCAGTTTCATTTATCAGACCAGTACAGATATGTCAAAAAAAATAAATAATATCGGCTGATACTGATGTTAGTGCCTATATAGTGTATATATTCCTAAAATTATAGCAAGAGTGACCGTATTTGAATCCGGACAATGAGCCATTGTTTGGCTAAGCTAAATATCAGACTCTCATATAAAGACTGAAACCTCAATTGTTAAGTTAAAAGTTTTTATTGCAAATAGTTTTATCCAAATGTCTGACAGAGCCGTGCTTGGTTCTTGGGTCTGTCTGCAGTGTTTTTACAACTTGATTTCTATTTCCTGGTTGTTTTATTTGGTATTTTATGTAAAGCACTTTGTGAAATATGTTTTGAATAGTGCTCCAGGAAAAAAAAAAAAAACTTTCACATTTATTTTTCAACAGGATCGTGTATCGTCTACTGGCTACCCCCTCTCGCTTTTGATCTATCCAAGTGCCTATATATATATTATTTTTTCACGGTTGCTGTATTTTAATGTTTTTTGTGCCTTATGACTTATAAGATATCTAATTTACCCTGAGGGGATCAACTCACTAGAGTGTAAAATAAAACAAGGAACAACTGGTGCCTTTAAATCATTTTAGAAAAATGGGTTGCAACAGTGTTTTACGAAACACAAACAAGTCTGTCAGACGTTTATCATATGTTTAGATAGCAGTGCCAGCTAGGCAGGCAGGGAGGGAGGTAGAAGACGGCTTGGCTGAGCAGGACTGTGGATAGAAGTAGGCAGGGTCCATTTAGGATCTGGCTCATCCCAGTGAGTTTTGGCATGAGAAGCACTACGCCACTACTCCTGCAGCAATGCCAGGCCCAACTTAGCTCTCCCACTAGGAAAAGGTCAGGTCCTAAAAGCTGCTCCAAAATTATAGTTAACATCCAACCTTCTGGTAGGACCTGCCAGAAACTCCCGTACACAGATCTACAAGATATACATTTTCTTATTTTAATCCAACACTTTGTGGTGAACACAAAAGTTATTGTTCCTTATTTTTAATTCGTTTCATGTTAAGAAACAAATAAAAATGCCTGGTATGACGTTCATTTACCAGCAGGAACAGCAGGTATGTTCTAATGGGGAACAGCAGGGGGCATCTGCCCTTACTATCCGCCTGGGGGCTTGCAGCCACCTCCTTCAGGCTCAATTACTGACAGATGGTGGCTTTCAAATAATCACTTCTGATCTGATTCAAACCGTTTGTGGTACATTTTCACATGGCATTATTGTAAACCCTTTTTCTGCACAGTCTCTGCTTGCCAAGGCCACTGCTGAAGTCATGTTCTCTGCTGTGAGGAGCTGGCTGGATGGCCGGAGTTACCAGAGCCGCGCCGATTAGGAGTAAATCCAAACGATACAAACTAGGTCAAGATTTTACCTTAAGTGGATCAACAGATTGGCGCTTAAGGGTGCACTGTGCTAACTACCTGAGCAGCTTTTATGTTTGGTACTTCAAAGAGTGAGAAAGAAGAGATTTCAATTCTGGAATATTTCAGAACAAATACACAGAGTTAGTGAATCCAGGCAGGTTTCACCGTAGCTTATTGTAAAGTTTTGTCAATCGTTTATCTTACCTTGAGCTATCAGAGGACCCCTGATGTGAGACGTTCCAGACTGGTGTTGCACTGAAGGATCTACGGCCCCGCTGGCAGGGCCTGGGTTTTGAGCATTTTGGCTATGGTTCTGTAAAGGTGCAGGCGGCCCATGATAGGAGTGACTGTGAGCGTGGGGATGGTTATTGCTAGGACCTGGAGGGTTACTACCTCCTGTGGTAACTTTAGCCTGGACCACCCCTGGGTTGTTCCTGTCCCACAGGTTGACTGCTTTATTGTAGGTACCGGGGTCGCCCCAGGCAGAGGTCCCGTCATCTATCTCCATCTTGCGACGGATAGAAGGCGGAGAGGGCTCTTCCCAGCCTGTCGCCTCATTTGAGGGTTCTTTCTTGCCACCGCCCCAGGACGCACCCTGTTTCACAGAGCCGGGGCCACCCCAAGAGCCCATAGTCCCTCCTCCGCTATTACTGCTGGGCCCATCCTGAGGCTTGCCCATCCAGCCTTGAGGGGGACCACATGGGCGCTGAGGTGCGGAGTCACCCCAGCCTCCACTGTTTCCAGCTCCAGAACCTCCATGTCCTGAGGAAGACATTCCCCAATCTCGTTTGTTCTCCTTCCAGTTTCCTGATTCTCCTTTCCAGTCAGGGCCAGAGGAGCTCTTTTTACTCTCTTCTGGTTCTCCCCAGTCGCCAGTGTTATTGCTTCCTCCACTGCTGCCCCAGGAGTTGGATGGTTTGGGTTGCTCTCCCCAGCTCTGGGATGTTGACTTGCCTTGTGAATCATCCCAGCCAGATGATTTCTCCTCCCCCCAAGATTGAGCCCCGTTCTTGGGTATGCTGTTGGAAGGGGCTCCTGCTGGAGGGTTACCCCATCCACTAGGCCCTACTGGGTGCTTTACGTTGGTGGGTGTGTCTCCCCAACCGGAACTGGGCGCATGTGAAGCAGCCATGCTTCCACCCCAACCAGAAGGTCCCTGTGAACCAGGCACATCATTTTTGTTGCCAGAGTCAGACCTCGGAGCGGGGCCCGTGTTAGTGTTTGAGGGTCCCTGGACATTGCTTGGGGCTGTAGGCCCAGAACCCCATGAATCAGTGCCAGCGTCATTCTTGCGTTTAGAATCATCCATGTCCCAGGTTGTGTGCTGGCGAACAGGAGTCTGACCCCAGCCAGTGTTGCACAGCACCCTGGGGTCCAGATCCTGGGCAGGCATCAGAGGAACTGTTTTCTCTCTGGTTGGGCGATCTCTCTGTTGGGGATATCCTTCCATGCTGTCACTGCTCCCTTCACTGGCACCAGCTGTGCTCACAGCTCTGCTCCAAGTATTGGCTTGTGAATCCTGGGGAGGAGAGCTGGGCGTATCCCAGCCTCCCTGGGCCTCTTCGCTATGCTGTTTCCCCCAGTCTCCACTGGACTGTTCACTCCAGCCTCCAGACTTTACAGTTCCACCTCCCACATTGCCCCAAGCGGAATCCCAGCCAGATCCTTCCTTTGACGAAGTTGGCTTTGAATTGCCACCATTACCCCACAAAGAGTTCCCTTCTTCTCCGTTGACCTGTGAACCCCCTGGTTGAGGCTGCCCCATAGAACCCAAGCCTACAGGTGAGCTGCCCCAACCAGACAAGTTTTGGATCGGGCTAGGAGGTTCTTGTTTTTTAGTCTGATTTGGTCCATCAGTTTTAAGGTTTTGAGGTTCAGAACTGAAAGACACATTCGTGGATGGAGTGAGGTGTGACTCGTCAGAAGTCATTATGGTACCCCATGCGCTGCCAATCCCAGAAGACTTGCCGTTATTGTTGGCTCCAGAACAGGCACTGGTTTGGGCTGGTGGGGGACCAGGAGGGTTACAGAGATTAGGTGTGGGTTGAGGAGATGAAATGGTGTTGGCTCCACCTGAGCTGCCTCCCCCTGTGCCTCCTCCATCATGCCCCAACACGGGCCATGCAGATGGGTTGGCATTAGGGTTTAGGTTCAAGTTAAAGTTGGTGGTGGAGGACGATGAAGAGGAACCCCAGCCCCTGCTGCCCCCTCCTACTGGGCTATCGCACTTCCCTTCATTACCCACTGAGGACTGAGGGGGGCAATGAGAAGGTCCTGGCCCAGATCCCCAACTGCGATTGGTTGCAACCTGGCTAGAGAGCATGCTGGTTCCAGTATGATTGACAGGGCTAGGCCCACTGTTGGCTTTGCTGTTAAGGTGGTTGGCAGGGAAGTGGCCTGTCTGACTATTGGCTCCCGTGGCCATACTCACTGCACTACAACTACTGCTTGAACTACTGCTGCTGGTGGTCAGGTGACCAGGGTCAGTGTCCAAAGGGCATCCTGCTGGAGAAGCCTGGCTCTGACTGAGAGTAATAGAAGGCCAAGCCTCTGAGTCCTTCTGGTCAATTATCAGTTGATCCCAGCCACTGGGACTGGTGGAAGATGCAGCACTTGTGGCACTTCTGTTGGCTGGCAGGTGTCCCCAGGGGGGGTTATCATACTGGGTTCCTTGGCCACTATGCGGGGGCAGTACTGTGAACATAAAGAGATAAAAAGAACAAAAACCAATCAGAAATGAGGGCAGACAGACATGATTTCACAATTTCATAACATACACATAACTAAGGCTAAAAGACAATGTAAGCATCTATTGGTGTGTGAAATGCTTTAAAATGTATTTATTTTTATTGCATTACCATAATGTCAAACTAAAAACTTAAAAATCCAATATTTAACTGGAGGAAATTTAATCAGCATGAACCATGTTAAGAAATAACTGGTTTTAACAAGTTCAACAAAGGCACAACAATTGGAGTCCTTAGCCATTCCCTTTAAGATACATGCCATTTAAGATTTTTTTATCAAATCATAGTTTGTATTTTGAAAGGGAAGTAAAAAATATTTCCCAAAGCCTGATGTTGGAAAGCGTAGCAAATATTTGAATCTCAGGGGTTTTCATACAATCCATTAGATAATTTTCATCCCTGATTGTTCCGGAGGGATGGGATTCCAAGAAAAGCCTTTCTTGTCCTACCATGATAAACGTAAACATACAGACTTCCCAACATTCCCCTCTGACTTTAACTGGAAGAGGATGATTTGGTCAGATGGATCCAAGACAAAAATTTCAGCAGTCAGTGCTCCAGTAGGGTCTTGCGTGAAACAAACAGATTAATACGAAAGCACCTATAAGTCTGGTGGAAGATCTGTGATTTTGTGACTCTGTTTCTCTTCCAAAGACCCTAGAAATCATGTTAGACTGCATGGCATCATAAACTAATAAACTGAGAGTGGACCTTCATTGTGTTTTTAAGTAGGATAATGTTTCAAGACGTATAGCCAGATCAATACAGATATTGATCACCACAGCTAAAATCAACCTCCTTGCAGGGCCATTAGAGTCCCCAGACAGATAACTTGTTAAAAACCTGGGTGTTGAGATGAAAACAACATAATTGAGGATCAAAGCCTCCAAGTCTGGACTCTAGAAGAGAGATTGTGCAACTAAAAAAACAAAACAAAGAATAATCACACAACCCACTATGTATTCACAAACTTTGTGAAAGGTAACAGGATGGGACATAGAGCTGTCCTATTCATTAAGAAGGGGATGATCAATGTACTGACGGCTGAGATGCCAAGTACTGTGCCATCAGTGTTTTGGTTAAAAATGGTTTCTTGACATAAGATTTTCCCCCCACGCTGAATAAATATGCCGACATCAAATATTTCAACGTCCCAATTTTCAATAATTTTAAGGTTTTCTAAATCCTAAATGCGTGTCTGTGTCAAAACAGAAACCACCTAGATTAAAAATCTATTGATCAAAAATGCAAGTATTGAGCAATTCTACAGAATCACTTTTAAACATACATTTTACTTCAATCTACAGTGCACTAGTCATATTTATTTCAAAGTCAGATTTGCAGATTTTATTTCAAAATAACGTAAATCGCAGCGCGTTGTAGTTTCTTTTTTTTTTTAAGTGTTACTCACTTCACCACAGAACAGCTGTTATATTTATATTTGAATACCAGATCAGACTCAACCAAGAATGAGTTCCTACAGCTTGGGCATCTCTAGTTTAACAACTTCAAACAGCAACAAACATGACCTTTACTAAGCATGAAGCATGACTACTTTGCTGCCTTGGAACAATATCGACCCCCGTCTTTTTATTTGCCTTTACCCCTCTGTAAAACTGCTCTAACAAAGTCAAGCGTTTACCATTACAGAACATCGGGGACTATGATTCTGAAGGTAATGCAGCATTACTGCATGATTACAGCTGTCCCTCGTGCTGCATTGGTTCTTGTTTACATGCCCCCCCCACCCCCTCCCCTCACATGTACACATAGTTTGCATGCAAATACGGCAACTATGTCACAACTACATGAGGGAAGTGAGTGTATTTGTGTGGCACCTCCTGTTTTCAAGCTTACCACAACGCTCGCCACTACATAAAAGGGAGAGAGGATATGGTGAGAGAGCAGGGAGGGAGGAGGGAAACAGGGCACTGTGTTTCTGACACACAGCGCTGTCGTTCTGTAGCGTCTCTCTCTGCTGTAAAGTGCAGGACCGCCATTTTCTCAGTACTGAATGAGAGCCAAAAAGCCTCTGATCTACTGTCTGCAGCTCCACTACTGCTTCAAAAACACACATCTCGCTCGCAACGATAAACGCGACACGCAGCAACTCAACGCTGCACACTCGAAATGCACTGTCGCTGCAGCTGAAATGGTACAAAAAAAAAAAAGTAGTCATTCAGAGTGTACGTGGATACAAGCTGCCAAAACAACGCAGAAGAGACGGATAGACGAGAAAAACACAGACAGGAGAAAAAAAAAAAAAAAAAAAGGGAAAAAAAGCAGAAAAAAACCTGGGGGGGGGGGCCCCCCAACCACCCCCCA